CCAGGAGTATTTTCATGGACGAATCGAGTAATAGTTTGGCTAGGGTTCCCATAGAGGATGATTAGGTTGTAGTATATGTCGAGAAAGTCTCGCCGAAGACCGATTTCTTTCTTCTTCCCTTGGTTATGCTCCCTTGATGTCATTTTAAGATATTGCCCTGATTATGTTCTACCCTCCTGTCCGTTTCATTCGATTTTTCAACCAACCGGTATATGGTTAGATTATTACTTGTGCTTAGTTACTTGCCCTGATCTGTTGATCTGCCTGACAGGCTATCACTTGAGTCCCAGTGAATCTGTGAGATGGCACAATTGGATGATATATATAAGGAAATCGAGGTTCTTCGAAATGAAATAGAGGTCCAAAAGAGACTAGCCGAGCATTGGAAAGGGCAATGGAAACACGAATATTCGGAGAAAATTGAGCTATTGCACGAGAACATAGAACTAAAAAAGCAATACGAAGGGATTCCTGAAGAGGTTTTAGCAATGGCACAAGGTAAAACTTTTACGAAGAACCCAGAAAAAGCCCAAAGGATAGCAATTTCAAGGGCACAAGTGAAGGGCTTCCATTCAAGAAAAAGGGATGTACCTAGTGAAAATCAAAGTCAAGAACAAGGCGAACAAGATAGGCCGCCCTTTAAAGTAGGTCAAGGAGCTAGTGGTGTGAAAATTTTGGAGACATCAAAAGAAGGTACTCCGAGAGGAGCCTCAGCTGGAGGAGGGCAACTAAAAGCTGTCTCACAAGGAGATCAAACTTCAATCCTCCACTTATCTTGTGGCTATTGTGGAAAAACCAATCATACTAAGGAGAATTGTTGGAAAAGAGGGGGAGAATGCCTGCGATGTGGGAGCACCAAACATTGGATTGCTGATTGTCCAGTTCTATTACGAGAAAAGAAAAGGGCCCATAACTCGACCAAGACCAACCCTGGACCGTTGAAGGGGGAAGGGAACTTAGAAGGTACGATTCGTGATTCCTACTGTTTAACTAAGTTTTGGCTATAGTGAGACCTGAGAGCTAGAAACGGATATATAAGGAAATACCCTACGTTACTCGAAGTGCATGTATGAATTTCGAGAATGAAATTCTTTAAGGAGGGGAGATTGTAACATCCCGAATATTAGGAGGTTGTTTGTGAAGAAAATATTAAAGTGTATTTCTTTGGGGTTTGATTTAAAACCTTATTTTGTTTTAAAAGATTAGAAACCCTAATATTTTAGTCAAAACCCTAGTTTACTTGTGACTAACCGGTTTTCCTAAATCTCTCCTATTTTAATTGAAACCCTAATTTTAATTACTGGAATTGGAAAATTCCTCACGTTTTCTTAAAAATTTCCTTTTATTTGAAAATTATCATTTATTAAAGCCCTAATATCCAATTATTCCATAATAAGTGCAAATGAATCTAGAAAGTAGGGTTTTATTCTTCGTTTTCAAGATTTGAGCAAATTAGGGTTTTCGCGATTTTTTTTGCCGGATGAATTTTCGGTACTGACCAAGGATCAATTTGGTGATTAAAAGTGACTTTTAAGTGAAAAATAATATGTGAATAGGAGCAATGATATAAGGTTAGTGAATAGGAAGAAAAAAACCCTAGTACGTGTGTTTTTAAGAAAAACGGCGCGAACCGACGGGTCTCGCGCACTACCGGTTGAACGAACCACTTGACCACCACTTTCTTACCATACAAGTTTATTGATATTTGAGCAAAATATCTCTTAATTTACAGCTAAGCTTGACCGAAATTTGTGGCTCAAATGCAAGGAAGGAAAGAGCAAATTTTTGTGGTTGAGGTTAAGCCAAGTGTTGGCCAAACTTGTGGTTAGAATTAATTCTTATCTTTCTACCTTCTTATAAGACAAACTGAGCTTAATCTCCTTCATTATTTCTGCACCTGGGCCGAGTAAGGAGAGAGAGAAAAGAAGAGCAAGAGCAACAAATTTCCTTCTTGATTTGCTTCAACCCAAGTAACAAATTCAATTCTAAACCGATTAAAGTGCTAAGTGTGAGTTGGAAAGCTTGAGGAACTAAGAAATTTCAAAGGGGGTGGAGGATCACTCTTGCAAGTCTTCTTTTTGAGGTATAAAATCTGATCTATGGCTTTGATCCTTTTATTCTTGTTTAAGATGTTAAATAGTCCATGTTTTGGGTTTGATTACAAGTGATGCAAGTTGTTGTGGTGATTTTTGGATGAAATATGTAAGTTAGAGTTTGATTAATTTCTGCCTAAACTTGTTGTATAGTTAGTATATATTGTATATAAGGTTATATAGGGGGTTTTGGTAGCAAGTGTAGCAAGAAATTAAGAAAAAACTATCATTGAAACCAAAAGATTTCAGATTTCTGGAAATTTTCATCCAATTCTGCCCGTTTTTGTTGCACCATGTTAGAGGCCGAATTGGGTGGCATAAAACATAAAGTTGTAGAGAATGGTATTTATAGGTGCCTACAAAATTTCAGCTCAATCGGAGGAACGTAGCTCATGAAAAGATGAAAATACCCTTGCTGATTTAGGTCACTTTCCAGAGTTCCGTGTGGACAGTTTAGTCCTTTTGGTTAAGTTTATTGCCTGTAATCCGTTTGGATTTAGTCATTTATTAAAACAGGAAAGTTTTAGTGCCCTGTCTTAGCTTTGTAACGCCACCAAGAACGCCTTAAACGGACCTTGGTAGACTGAGATATGGTCACTTGAATGCAGTGCAGTTGATTAGCCGAATAGTTGAAACCAGGTTATGTGGGTTGGGAATTTGATCAGGTTACATTGGAAATTTGACTAAGTGATCTTCATGAAAGTTGTAGATCTTCATCTTAGCTTCGAATTGGTATAAGTTACGCCTCAATCTGATAAGTGTAGCTTCGGATATGGCCGTTCCGTAAAACCCGTCAAATCTGTTTTTTTTTTTTGCTAGGTTACGTTTCCGCACTTGTTATCACTTTGATTTTTGTTCTTGTGTTGCTGTGAGCCTATGGAATGGGTAATGGACTGAAATTATGTTATGGATGATGTTGGGTTGGTTTGAGTAAGGATTGAAGTCTAAATGGCTGGAAAATTAGGTAAACACAAAGGGCGTGCTGCCCAAATTTACGCTCGAAGACTAGAGAACTATATTTGCAACTTGAGTAAGGGTTAAGAGTGATTACTACTTGAGCCATCTAGGGTACTTGAGTCTTCTTGTTCCGAGGTATATAAGTAAGGATTTGGCCGAACTTGTACCCTTGAGAAATGAAATAATGATTGCTCGGAGTATGTTTTCCTTGTACTTTCGACTCGCATGGCATTTTCAAGTATAAATGTTACAAAGTTTTATCGTTTAAAAAGCGAGCAAGTGTTTTACGACTACTCTCCAAGTGAATTACAATTTCTTGATTTTTATTGAACGAAACGTCTAAGTTTCGAATCTTAGTCATGTTTCAAAGTTCTCAAACAGAGTTTTATCGCAGATTTGGACTCCGAACCCGGAGTATAACCTGAAAGTGACCAATAAAGGCACTATATCTTTTGGTGAGTGCTTTCAAATGCCGAATTGAACTTGATACTTGAACTTGATACTTGAACTTGATACGTGACCAATATGATTACATGTTATATACGTGAATTGTTAGGGCAAGAGTGTACTTTATCGCACTTGCCCTTATGTGATATATACCTGTTTATTGTTGCAATTGACTTGATATACTTGTTTATGATGCGTGCACTTCCTGGAATTCCAGAAACCCTGTGGCGAGTTACTCAAGTCGAGCCGGCAAGGGTTTGGTCGATTGGGTAACAAACTCTGGGTCTCTTGTTTTGTCGAGTGGAGTGATATCTTCTCGACTAATCGGTATACTCGAGTATTATCACCCGTGTTTCTTGAGGATTTTGGGCCCAGCTGGGGGTTTGAACGGTGGACGGAGAGTCGTTTAAGTGGTGTTCTACTGGATTGATTACTTACTTGAAAGTTGACGGAGTGTCAACTACTACGTGATCAAGCTTCTGGTAATGCAATGGGAGTTTGGCTCCTGAGAGCGATCCGTATCCTTATACTTTGGAGTGATTATTGTTTATTGGATTATTGTTTCTTTTGAAAACGTCTACACTCGCTCATTTTAAGATTGCTACTGGACGTGTTATTGCTCATATTTATGAACTCTTCATGCTCGTTACTTTGCTATATCGAAAACTTATACTTATTAATAATGGTCAATTTGCTATTTGGAACCTCACTGGGCTTTTAGCTCATTCCACTCTATTTGTTTTCCTTTCAGGGGTACGAACGAAGTGTGAGATATGTAAAGTCTAGCATAGACTAGTTGTTTGATTTTTGACTTGTACTCGCGCTGTTACTCGAATAGAATGTTTTGTATCTGGATTGTATATACTTTGAACCAGTTTGGTTATATTGAGGTTTTGTATCTTGATTTTGCATCAATGTAAATTATAAGCTTGAATTGCGACGTTATTTATGGTCTATGGATGTCTGCATGTGATACGAGTGAGTGAGTCCTGGCGAGAATTGGACAGGCGGTCCGCCGTACCCTCTGGTACGCCTTAGGGGGAGGTGAAGTCGTCACAATCACGGTATTCCAAAAAAGGCTGTTTCGCATCCAAAAAAAAGAAAACTTGATGAAGTTGATATGCTGAACGATGTTTCCCTGATAGAAGGACCTTCTGAATTGATTAATCTCGAGAAAACAGGTATTGTCATGCGCAGAAAATAATAAAAAAAGACTTTCTCCTGCCTAATCATTGGTCCGCCTATTAAAAACGCTTCCTGTACCTTTTATTCTTTTCCCAGGTGCCGAGAACGGGAGGACAAAACGAGACACTGTGTCCACTAGAAAGTATTATTGTTATAAATTTCAGATGGGGGATAATGATAGGTCGATGTTGTTACATGCAAGGCGTTTGTTACAGCATTTCGCAGTTGATGTTTATGTTAAGATCGAACGTCGAGGCTTAATTTTCATAGAAAAAAACAAAACGAAGGTCTGAGATCCTTAAGGGAGTCATTGACAGCATGTCTGTTGGCTGTACAACTGGGAACCAGGTTGGTCGTAGGATATACCTGCCAGCTTCTTTTATTGGTGGTCCAAGGGATATGAGACGTAGGTACCTAGATGCTATGTCTTTGGTACAGAGATATGGTAAGCCCGACCTGTTCTTGACTATGACCTGTAACACAATGTGGAAGGAGATACATGATAACTTGAAGTATGATGAGGAAGCTCAGGATAGACCAGATTTGGTTGCTAAAGTGTTTCGTGCAAAGTTTGAAGTGCTTAAAACAGAGATAGTTAAAAAGAAACTGTTTGGTGAAGTTGCAGCTTTTGTTTATGTAATTGAATACCGGAAAAGAGGCCTTCCTCATGCCCACATTCTGGTGATTTTGAAACCAGAAGCTAAACCACTGAATCGAGAGGCATACGATAGAATGGTTTCTGCTGAGCTGCCTGACCCAAATGAACAGAGTTACTTGTACTCCCTTGTTATAAAACACATGATGCACGGCCCTTGTGGATCGCTGAAAAAAGAAAATGTCTGTATGCGTAATGGAATGTGTAAAAATCGTTATCCAAAGGAGTATATTGAGCATACTACGCATTCTGAAGATGGTTACCCGCATTATAGGCGAAGGAATAATGGCAGGTCTGTTAGAGTAAGAAACCATTCTTTGGATAATAGGTGGGTTGTCCCCTATACTCCATACCTTCTTGCTCTTATAGATTGTCACTTAAATGTCGAGATCTGTTCCACTGTTAAACTTGTCAAGTACTTATACAAATATGTCTATAAGGGACACGATCGAGTAAGCTTTCACATATATTCTGAGAATGATCCAGAAGATATAGATGAGATCCATGAATTTCAGTCTGCTAGATGGGTATCAGCTGCTGAAGCAATGTGGCTCATTTATAGGTTCCCGTTGAATGAAATGACGCCTTCCGTTTACACACTTCAGTTGCATCTTCCAGGAGAACAAGTTGTTTCTTTCCACAAGAATACAAATCTGTCGAATCTGGTTGATAGTACGGATTTTACTAAGACGATGCTGACTAAATTTTTTGCCATGAATAGGCGCAGTAAACAGGCACGTAAACTGAAATGCCTGTATCGAGAGTTTCCAGAGTACTTTGTTTGGCATCCTGATAAGAAAAAATGGACTTGTAGAAAGCGTAGAAAGGTGATCGGCCGAGTGGTTACTGTCCGTCCCAACGAGGGCGAACGATACTTTCTAAGATTGCTTTTATCTCATGTTCGTGCGCCAAAATCATTCGACCATCTTCTCATTGTCGATGGACAGCTTGCATCTTCATATCGAGAAGCTGCCTTTTGAATGGGCCTGCTCCAGTCTGATACCTACATAGAAGACACTCTTGATGAGGCCACTGCCTTTCATATGCCTTGTTCACTTAGAGCCTTGTTTGCAATGTTACTTGTTTTTTGTGCTCTTTCCAATCCCATCAAATTATGGGAGAAATATGAAGCTGACTTATCCAATGATTTAGAAAGAACGAGCTCTATCACCGGTTGTGATTCTAATTATGTTAGGAGGTGTGTGCTACAGGACATAAATAGATCCTTGGAACAGATGGGTAAACACATACGTGATTACCATCTTATTCCTGACAGTTTTCTATTTACTGAGCATGAACGCTTGACCAAGGAAATCGAAAGTGAGCAAAGCCTGCGTTGTACAGAAGATGATTTGCTGACTGTTTCTCGGCTGAATACTAGTCAGCAAGCTGCATATAATGCCATTATGTCTGAGATATTTTTACCCGATGGCGAGAGTTTCTTTGTCGATGGTCCCGGAGGAACAGGTAAAACCTTTTTATATCGTGCTTTGCTTGCTACTCTGCGGACACATGGCCATATAGCGTTAGCGGTTGCATCGTCGGGTGTAGCAGCCTCTATTCTTCCTGGAGGAAGGACTACGCACTCGCGCTTTAAAATCCCTCTCGATGCATCAGCTGCTAAGGCCTGCCAGATTAGTAAACAAAGCTCGACTGCTAAACTGATTGTCATGGCTAAGTTAATCCTATGGGATGAAGCTTCGATGGCGAAGCGAGACGCCATTGAAGCATTCGATCTACGCCTTAGGGATATCATGGATAGTGATAAGCCGTTTGGCGGTAAGGTCGTGGTTTTTGGCGGTGACTTTCGTCAGACTCTCCCAGTTATTCAAAATGCAACAAGGGATATTCAAGTTCAGTCCAGTTTTGTTAACTCTGCTTTGTGGGGTAGTCTACAGAAAGTCTCTCTTAAAGAGAATATGCGAGCTCTTCTAGACAGCCCGTTCTTAGATTTCCTTCTTAGAGTAGGAGATGGAACTGAGCCAGAAGATACCGATGGAAAAATAACTCTGAGCAATGACATGTTGGTACCATACGATGAAAAGGAAAAATCTCTTGACAGGTTATGTTCTGATCTGCGCCTTCTATATATATATTATAGTGCGATGCTATTTTATAATAGTTACTTGAGCGTTAATACGCCGTATCATGGGTTATACTATATAAAATAATATGTTTTCTGCCTGAAAACTTGGTCACACAGGTTAGTAGACTCAGTGTTTTACGACTTGCGGATTTATTCTTTCAACCCCTATCTAATGATCAATAGGTGCATTCTCTCCGCAATGAATAGTGCAGTTGATGATATAAATCAGATGATAATTGATCACTTCCCGGGTCAGCCTTTTACGTATACAAGCACTGATAGAACACTTAATGAGGGAGATCAAGGAGATTACGAAGATTACGAAGATTTCCTTAATTCTTTGAATCCAAAAGGCCTCTCTCCTCATAAGTTAATCCTAAAGAAAAATTGTCCTGTCATTTTGATGCGTAATCTGAACCCGGTTGAAGGCCTCTGCAATGGAACTCGGCTTATTTGTAGAGAACTCAAACAAAATACAATTTGTACCGAAGTTGCTGTCGGACAGCATCGAGGGAAAAAAGTTTTGCTCCCAAGAATTCCGCTTCAGTCATCTGATAATGAAAAGAATGGAATCCCTTTTAAGAGGACTCAGTTTCCAATTAAACTCTGTTTTGCGATGACTATTAACAAGTCACAGGGTCAGGCATTGGATTACGTGGGAATTTATTTACGTGAGCCTGTGTTTTCCCATGGACAGCTATATGTTGCTCTTTCTCGTGCAAAAACTTCGGCAGCTGTCAAGGTTCTCATTGTGCCAGGAACTTATAGTGATTCTGTTACTTGTGCCAAAACAAGAAATATTGTTTATCGTGAAGTCTTGCAGTTAGCTAAACAGTGATTTTTTCCCTCTTGGTGAGCTTTTCTGACTTGGCTCCTTGGTGGCTTGGCCATTGTTTCTTTTAATCTCTTGTTGTTTAAACTTGCTAACAACTACTTGTGATGTATTTGGCACTTATAAGTGATTGGTGTGTTCATTGTAGGATGTCTGAGTTTCTAAAAATTGCTGATATCAAGCCAAAAATACAGAATTGGTCTGCCAAGGTTTTTGTCAAAGAAAAAATGCATCCTGGTTCTGGCAAGACCAGCCCAACGAGAAATCAGAAATTTGTCCTTTCTGATTCAGAGGTCTATTTAATTGATCGATGCATTAGCCAGGCATTTTTGTTCTTTCTCAATCCGCCTATGCCAAGGGGCCAACCTAACCTGATCTATTATTTTTTATTTCTGTCAGGGTTCTACAGTCCAAGGAATCCTTTTCAACAATGCTATTGAGAAGATGGGCCCAAAGTTACAGCTGTATAAAAGGTATCGCATCACCAATGCCGAGGTAAGGGAGATAGAGAAGAAATACCAGTTTGATGGAATAAGCATCTAGTGGGTTATCAGCACTCGTACTGTTGTTGAAGAGGATGACGATGAAGATGGCTCCGTCTTGCCCTTCCATTTTGATTACATCCCTTTTAGAGACTTCCCACTCTTTGTTGATTCGAAGAGCGAAACTGTTGGTAATCTAACATTAAGTTGCATGCCTGCTACATTTGCTAAAATCATCAAATTCTCCTTTCAAATAGTTAACACTTTTAAATACTTGATATTAGATGTCCTCGGAGTGGTCATCGATGTACAGTCTGCTGAGCCAATCAGAATCCAATCGCAGGATTCATATGTCCAGCGGTTTGTAATCGTTAACGAAGAGTAAGTTTCTAAAAAGCCTGTTTTCCTACGGATCGTTCCTTCTTTTCTAAGCGTCGCTTACAGGTTCAGGAAGATATGTTGTGATTTAATACACAACTGATCATATAATTTGGAAAGCAGAATGCAACCTTCTCCTCAAATTATCGCTTACGAATACAGGCTGGTGTCTTACGGTTTATTAGAAAGCTGATCATGTGATTTGAAAAACAGAATGCAGCCAGTTGTTCTCTCTCTCTGGAACAGATTTGTTGAAACTGAAGGCAAGGTTCTTATGCAGCTGCTTAAAAAGAGGCCAGTTCTTATTTGCAGCAGGATCAAAGTTGTCTCTTATAATGGTATCCTTACTTCATTTGCTTATCAATTTGTATACGTGCTAGCATATTTCATTATTTTTTTTTGTTTTTAAATACCATGCACTCCTCTTTCTGGCGGGAATTGCGCTCTCCACTAGAAACGATTCGGTGCTTCTCATTGATCCGCCTGTTAGAGATGCAAGCCATTTGAAAACTTGGTTAGTTTGAAGTGTTTCTTTTCACCTTCTGCTGATTTCAAGAATTGCAATTGTATATGTACCTACTAATTATGTATTTACTTTTATCTTCAATCAAAGGGCAATGAGAAATGAGAGCCAGTTTGCTACACTGGTCCAGGAAAAAACTTATAACATGCATAGTCCCAGGATGTTTCATCAGTCAAAGCACAAAATTTCTACTATACAGGCTGTTCTAGCAACTCAGAAGGTCATCACATTAAAATACCTGCGCTTTGTTATTAAACCAGAAAAAAATGCCGTGCATTTTAGTTTTTGTTTTCATGTACACAGATCGCCTGGGTTAAAGCTCGTTTCTCTTTCCAGAACATATTCCAAAAATATTGGTATATGTCTTGTGTTAAGTGTCATCGTCAGACATCGGCCAACTATGGCCACACTTTTACCTGCAATCACTGTAGCGAAAGGCAGCCTACGGCCCCGCGGTAAGCTACATATTCCTGTTTACTGAACATTGATTTGTACTGTTGAAGCATTTCCTATTTTTTTCATGTTATTAAACCTTCGAACCAGGTGCCGCTTTGATGTTGATCTAAGTGATGATACCGGTGTTATGACGGCTTCTGTATTTGGTGAATTAGCTGAGCAATGGCTTGGCATTTCTGCTGTTGCGGCAATGGATTTTTATAACAAGGTTTATATTACACTAATGAGCTGATGCTCTACTATGTAAAACAAAAATCTGTATTATGAAGCCCTTTGTTGCTATTTCTTACATAGCAATTCTCCTGAATTTATTCTCAGAATGAAGAACTCCCACTCGAACTAATTCACGACGCGTTGAAGTTCAAGACATTCATTGCTCAAGTTAAGCCTAGAAATACCAAAGATGATGGGACTTATCAGCGATATACAATTGTTTATTACTTTGAAGACAACAAAGACTGTGAACTCCTTGAGGAACAGCCCCTAAGTAGTTCTCATGTGGCCAGTCAGCTTTCTGTAGCTGATACTCCAGGTAGTTGCTACATGCTTAGCCATATACTTTTTAAAATTCCCATTCACAAATCTTGTTTTTTATTTCTTTTCGCTTGTCTTGTTGCACAGAGAGACCATGTTCTTTTTCTAAGAGCCAGCTCTGCTTTGATAAGAAGCAAAATGTTTCCGAAGCGGAAAGTCAGTCTTCTGCTATTAACATTTCAGGTATCTCCTATCCCTTCCATTAATCACTATTTTCCATCTTTGTTGGGTTTTATCTATAGATATGTTTGTTTCGTGTGCAGACAATCATTGTGGTTCCTCAAAGGCACGCGTTTGCCTTGCAAAAAGAATGGAACTCAGCGAGGAAGCCGAAGCTACTATGTCAGATCCTTGTGCCATCGCGAGCAGCAAAAAACCAAGGAATGCTTGATCTGCTTGTCCTCATCAGAACATCTTTTGTCGTTACTCTTGCTGCTATGTAGGCCTATTTAAGCATACGCTCTTATTAGATACTATATCAACATCATATACTTTTGCAGGTGGCGAAAAAACAAGTAATGCTTGGTCTATTTATCCTTATAAGAAGGTCTTCTGTCATCATACTTCCTGCTCTTGGCCAGCGGTCTTTTGTCATTGTATTGTCTGCTGTCTAAACTTGTCTCACTTGACTATGTTGGTGATGATCTGTCACTGAAGACATATTGATGACATTTAAACCCCTTTATGTA